TAGAAATGTTATTGAAACTTTTAAGAACAAATTCTTCTACATGTTTAAACTACCCTGAAAGAAAAGACTTTCCAAAAAAATCGGAGCTTCCCTGAAGTCATTATAACTAACCTACAGATCTGAACTTTCCTCTCTTCTTTCTTCAAAATCTCCAAACTTCCCGGAACTGCTCTGAACTTCCCTGAAGTTTTTGAAACTTGTCTAATGTCCCGGCTATCATCCTGGAAGTTATGGAACTTTCCAGAAGATCATGCTATTTTACAGTTTTTGGAACAACTCTGAAGTTATCGGGATTTTCGATAGATGCTCGAAACTTCTTGCAAGTTCCTGTACCTTCTTGAAATTAATATAGCTGCTTTAAAGTTATCTGATCTTCCCACTAAAGTACTGTAAAACGGGGGGAGGTTGATCACTTTCTACCGATTATCCTGATTATTTTTAGGCTGTGTTCCATTTGGTAAATTTTCACTTAAATTTGACAGTTCGAAAATAAATTAAGATATTCGAAAATCCCTCTGTTGTTGATCTTCCTATTTTCGAGAAGGTGTTTGCCAAAATTGATTCCTGGTCTGTCAGAAATAAGTCTGGTACAATAGCAGGTTTATTCGAAAATTTTCCATCTGTCTAATTTAAGTGAAAATTCACCAAATGGAACACTTTATTAATTTTCAATAAGTCACTTTTAAAAATTACACAAATGTCCAACTGTTGCAATGGTGATCAGAATTATCACCAATTGCCTGCAAAAGCACTTTCCTTAACACAGATTTCAACATCGAATTCCATCCGGTCTCGCCGAACGGTGCTTATTCAATCACCGTGTCCGGAGAAGCACTACACGACACGTTGTTCTCCAGTACACAACGAAAGGCTGCCCGCAAGCAGCGAGCTGCAGCCCCCATGATCGCCAATTCACCGAAGAAGGAGGAAGAAGCCGCACCGCTACTTATCGGATTCAGTAGCTCGTCGTGAGTCGCTGTGGGGTCAAGTATTCCAAGCGCGTCACCCTCGTTCCAAACAATATACAACTCTCCAGTCTCATCCGTGTTGAACACCCTAATAGATCAGCATTACTCAACCATCACGACAAAAAGGGGTTTTTTTTTTCAGAACCACCAAAAATTATTGTTGTTTAAGAGTTAATTTTCATTGAAGGTTGGCTCGCCTTGCTGCCAGTGACATCACCCCCAAAGTTCTTTGATAATGTACCCAGCAAACAAAAAATTGTGGTCAATAGCATTGAAGTGGTCGCAAAAATTCAAATTTTTCAATTTTATCTAGATCAACGCGAGATTGGGACGGTACTAATGGACATTTTTGGTCGCTTTGAAAATTTAGCCGATTGCTGAATGGGCCCAAATTAGGGGCATTTAGGCCGACATTACATCCATTTCTCCTACATAAAATTTTTCTCAATGACCGAATACCACATGACCTTGACAATTAACCAGAAATACTTCGAATTAAGGTGAGGTTTTCTCCAGGACGCTAGAAAAAAGGAATCGAATTTATATTATATCGCGAATATCTTGCGAATGGAAAATTTTAACAAGAAATTCCGCCAATCAATTTTCGCTTTTTTTATTATCTGTTGAATAAACCAAAAATTCCTTGCGTTTTATGCACAAAAATGCGTAATTGTCATCAGAAAACGAGGCGTCTCCGTCATGGGAAAAAGGGGTTTCCCTACCACAGTCGCCGAATATTGATACCACGCACGTAATCCTGCGTAAAATCTACGGTCGTGTCTTGGATAAATTCCGGGATTCCGAAAAATAAAATCCAGAATTCCAGGATTTTTTTTTAAACTCAGAAAAACAGGACCCTCGAATAGTAATCTAGATGGACGTCCGAAAATATCCTTATGCATTTCGGTGCAGCCTGGATTAGTGGAGCGCGCGTAGATCGAATTGTCTGCGGCCAAAAATCTTTCTGCGCAGCTGGTCTTCTAAACATGTCAAATCTGTGAAAAAGAGCAAGCAACGAAGAGAACCCTGAACACAATTGACCACTGTCGGGTTCTCCAATTGAAACGCATTTATCTAAAGTGGCAAAGAAAGTCGTCCGAAAATGCTACAATTTTTTCGGAAACGATTTGGATTGTACTCAAATTCGTTAAATTATTTGTATTTGAACCTCTAATGACCACTGATTGGTACTTCGATAGGTCTAGAGAACAACTTGAAAAGTGACGATTTTACGAAAGACTAAAACGATAGTAGTGGTTATATTGAAGTGTGACTCCATAGGTTGGTCCATCGGGTGGATGATCTTGTTCAAATAAAAAAAAAATCAACAGGCCACAAGGTGAACATCCCGACTACTCACGAATGACCCAAGAGAGTTATGACTATAAATAAAAGTTGAGGGTTGTGTCCAAAGCACGACCGCATTGTGGACGTAGAACTACGAGATTGTTTTAATGCTCCATTCGCTAATATATTACTAACAAAATAAATGGTCTAGAAATTGAACTCCAAAATGAACAATTCATTTTGAAATTGGGCGGGTATTGAATAAATCCTAAAATTAGAATTACCTTTGACCGCTTTCTTGTTGACTCGACACAATCGAACGCGTTCAGCAACGGTCCGCGCCTGTTTCGCAGGTTTTACGTGCCTCCTGGTCTATCACGCGCTTCCGATCATCGCGGAGATATTTTGCAGCCATGTGTTGAGGCATTTTGAAGATTTGTACAGAATTTCTCAATAAACACTTGATTCACTTCGAACATTGACTCTATCCAACGCGAAGTGTAAACACTGAAGCACTTACTGTACCAATTGGAATATACAGGGAATGATATAATGCATAAACACGATGGTGTTTCAATATGATGTCTGTGTTTGTGAAACTATCACAAAATCAAATTTTGATTGCCTTTATTTTTGCACACGCCGGTAAGCTACACAGACTCCTCCCATAATGAGTAGTTTGCTGTCAAGTAGCGACAATCTCCCTTTGCGTAGTTTGCCAATGTCAATCCTTAAAAGGAAAGGGCAATTAACGAGTTATTAACGAAAGATTGAGATAATCGATCAAAATCACTTGCACCCCTGCTTCCAAGTTTGGTTACAAGATTACAACTCTGGAGAGCATTTTTTCTGGTCGCTGGGGACGTGTGGTTCTGAATATGGACAAACAGGCACAGATAAATTCTATTGCAATTATTTACTCTAATAAGCTTGTTAGACCTGAAAAGGGTCGTTTTGTTGCCAAAGTTGGTGATGATTTAACCTCCGAAACCGTACAGAGTGCGTCTGTCGCTTCAAAGCGTAGACGACATCGATGACCGCTTACGCTTGGCGTGTTCAAAGTAGGTGACAGCATCATGGATCATATTTTCCAGGAACACCTTCAGCACACCTCGTGTTTTCTCGTAGATCATACCGGAGATACGTTTGACATCGACACGGCGCACCAGACGACGGCGGTTCTCACGAAGAACCTTGCGATGATGCTTGGCGCCTTCTTTACCAAGACTTTTTCCTCCTTGCCACGACCAGTCATTGTTGCTTGTTAGGTAGAATAGTGGACTACCTAACATGCCATCGAAGCGACATTGAGTTGAGGCACGACAGCAGCGCTCCTTTATATCTTTTCAAGGTAAAGCAGAATGATGTGCAACCAAGTGGTACTCGATTATGCCGACTGGGTTTGGGAAGAACGTTTATTTCATGAAAAAAGTGAGCACATTACCACATTACCACTTTTCAATAGTTTCTTGTTGAAAATCATTAGTCGGAAGCATTGCTTTCAATGCGTTGACAAATTTCTGATCGAGTGGTGATAAAATTATTGAAATTGGTCCAGGGGCAGCTGAGTTATTAATGTTCAAAATCTTTCATAATTTTGTTACATATTCCATTTTCGGTTGTCACAAAGTGTACCCCCATATAGAAATCACAGACGTAGCCCTACGTCAAAATGTCGATTACAATATTATTTATCCTTCTGCTGCTCAAGAACTGTTCTTTCATGTGCCATTGTTGAAATAAACAGCTCATATAAAAGGCAAAATAATCGTGTATCGAAAAAACTTTTACTCCTTTCAAAGATTATGCCAAACGAATCGATATTTCATTTACATGTTCTTCGAAAATTATGCTTAATAACCTTTGTGCCAAATGGCTATTTGAAATAAAAAATATGCCAAACGACTTTATGCTAAATGGGGTTTCCCCCGAATATACATTGTTTATTTCAGAGGATTTCGCACAGGAAGCTCAACGAATTTCCATAGCAGCAACATAAACAACGTCTTATGAACGTTATTGAATTATCCTTTGCACGCTATCCCGACATAAAGATGGGACATTTAAACTACACCCCTGGCCGCAAAACCGTCAGCATCATTGTCGTCATCGGCAACAGTCAGCCACAACCAGTCAGTCATTCGGAGTCGGTTAATGTGAAGAGCAGTGTGGGTGGCTTTTTCCGTGCTGAGATTGAAAGTGTGACATAAGAAGGAGCAGCAGCTACGGGGCGAGTAACTACCCCAAAGCGAAGCGAAGACTGACTCGACTTGACTTGGCTGACTGACGACGATGATGTCGAATAAGGGGATAAGGGATTGCGGTCTCACACCCCAAACGACGTCCAAGCCAAGACAACTTCTGTGTGTTCGAAGAGATGTTTCATTGTGTCGTCGTCGTCGTCGTTGTTGTCGTCGCTCTGTTGAAAGGCGGCAAAAGAGGAGACTAATAAAATAAAGCAATTGAGAAGAATGAGTCGTATAAATGTTTCGGTATTAGGGTCGTTCGCTTTCCACTCTGGCACCGAAGTGGGTGGCGTTCGGGTGAAACTGAACTGGCAATCAACGCCGTCGTCGGTCGATGGGTTGGTTCCGGGATGGGGATGAGATCCATTTTTTTTCCTTTGCCGTTTACAGTTCCATTCGAAGCAGACATGTGAACGTTCAAATGCGCTGTGGTAGAGAGCGATGTGACAGGAGCAGTTGTCTGCCAGGAAGGGAAGAACAATTACAAACTTGGACTTACCATGACATAATGTCGCTGCATTTCGGTTTTCTCGCTGGCGAGTTTATCACATTCTAGTTTCAATCTGTGGAAGAGAAAAAGAGACGGAGGGGAAGAGTGAGTGAGTGAAAAACAGGCATGAATAGAAGCGGAAAATGGGGCGAATTAATTAAGATTTATGTGCTTGTTTTCGAGAAGGGTTGTGTTGCAAAGTTGGAAACTTTGGCAGGAATGATTTGAAATTTAATTTGTTGGACGTTGTTTGGTGGCATCAAGGGGGGATGGTATGAAGCGTCGGAATTAAATGAACAATTTTGCCGAAGGGATTCTGGGATTTGAGCACCGAGCTGACTCTGGGTAGGGTGGTGCTCCGGGCGCTTCAATTATTAATTATTTCTGGTAATTAAAACAAATCTGCACGATTAGGGTGAGTCTTTTGTCGGCCAATTGGAAGCACTGGGGAATGGAGTGTGACGGTGAGTTGGTGAGTTTGAGTAAATAAATTGTTGGATATTCCAAATGCGTTTGGGGTTATCCCGCACCGATTATTACGCTATGTCTCAGATATTTAGGGGCATGGGGATCTGGAACTTCTTAACGAAAATCCAACTTCTGACCCACCGCTTCACACCGGGGCGCAAATAGCATCACAAAAAGCAAAAGAGCAAATTCAATAAATTACTTATTTCTTTATCGCTTCATTGAGTTCAGAACAAGCCAACTGCTACCACCACCGCCACTGACTGCAGGCTATTGCAGCAACAGCAGCTATTGTACTTCCGGACCACCAGCTCCATCCTCTTCTCCAGTCAATTCCCTCACTTTCTCGACACATTAAAGAAACAACCGCACCGCAAGCATCGAGTCTGTATCAATTTTTGCTTCGCCTACGTGACTTGTCCATCTTTGTGAACCTTCCTCCGGCGGCGCACCATGCCACATCGTCGTCGAACAGGACAGGACAAACAAGACAAACAGGAAGCCCACCCCGCGCCCGCATTCATCCGGAGGTGCAGTAACTTGGCAGGAATTGTTTTCCAATCCCTTACCCCCACCAACACCATTTCTCTTTACCCACTACGTATCGGCTTATATAAAACTGCAACCCGGTACGGTGCTTCCACTACAGCTCAAATCGATCCCTCTACCACCCCACCGTACCGATGGAGTCCAATCTCGGGGAAGCAATTTTCCAGGGAGTCATTTTTCCGTCCCCCCGTCCCCACCGATACGACGTCGAGTCGTTTCGTTCGAAAACGTCTGTGCACTTTCCAGCAGCAGCTGTAGGGTAATGGCGGTCGGCGGTGGTGCTAGCAAGCAAACTACTAGTACTAAACTCAAACAATCAACTTCCCTTCCCTTGAGCTACTTCGTCTTCTTCATGTTCTGCTTCCGGTGCGATGGTAGTCACACTATACTACTGTTCAAACACACCGGAACGGGGTCGGCCCCCCAGCTCCCGGGAGCTCACTCAGCTGTGTTCCTATACCTAGCTGGGGTCCGGTGGTTGGTCCCAGCCCAGTGGAAAATTTACACCGAAAACAGCTTTAAATACGAAAATGCGGTAAACGGTTGCGGTCAGGCGATTGGGTGTACACATTCTCGCATTATTGTTATTGTCGAGGTGGGTTGGTTTTTCGCTTGCCAATGGATTTTCCTGGGAGCGATAAGGGTGGCAGTGGGTGTTGAGTTTGGTGTTTGGTGGATTTCGGAGCGGAGCAACATTCGGGGACGATGGTAACAAATTACTGCTTTCAATTGGGTTTGCTCGCTTCCACCAACACCACTCTGACAAATTCGATGTAAAGGGGGTTTTCTTCGATATGTTTGAAATGGTTTTGCTTTTGTGTGGTTGTTTTTTATCGTTGAAAATCTATCATTCGAAATTCATTGGAGTGGTTCTACGATCTACAGCTTAATTAATTCAATACCTGGCTTCAACGGGTCAGCAAGGTTGAAAATATATCCTCAATTGATGCCATATTTTTGCTGTATGGATGAATATGTATTATCATGATGAAAGTAATACACCCTTTGTATTAGTCTTGTTGATTGCTAGTATTAATTGAGAACAGGTCTGTCATGATGGTTCAAAATAAACGCAAAACAAAAGGGCAATCTCTTGATCCCCTTCTGATGAAATTTATTTGAGCAATCAATTTGATATGCTCACGGATGATGAGAATGATCCATCATCCGAGCTAAATTCCACCAAACATTCCCGGCTTAATGCCAAGAAGGAAAAGGTTCACCTTATTGTGATAACCACTTCCAATTTCCATGCTATCACACATTTTTCACTTACGACACCAAAACTGAACGTCTGTTCAAGGTTGTCTTGAAAGGGCTGCCCACTGTTACTTGGAGTTGAGCCGTTCCAAGTAATCAAAATGAAAATGAAATTCCGTCCTGGCGATTCGCGCAACGGGATTTCCAATGATTTTTATTTAGTTCACTTCAAGTCTAGTGCACTTAAAAGCCGAGAGGCCTTTGAAAAAGCTAGCCTTATGCTCCATGTCCGAGTGAAGTGGGAACACTTCAGGAAGACTTGAGTCAATTTCCAAAATCTCACACAGTGCTGTAAGTGCCAGGAATGCCTGTTAAATGCATGAATTGTGGTGATTCCTCTCATACAAAGGTCAAAGGTCCTGTGAAGGAAGATTCTAAGAAATTTAAATGTTCAAATAGTGGGGAAAACCACAAAGCCAAGCGACAGGTAGGAAACGCTCCTGTTCGGGTACTAATCTATCTGCTGTTAACAACGGTCAGAAAAAAAAATCTTCATTCGTACCCGTAGGTACAAACAGCTCACAAGCTTCAATTTCTTCATCCATACCTACAGCCAGGGTGCCTTCCATTCATTTTGGCTAAAAAAATGTTTTATGAAATTATGGAATAATAAGGTATTATGATAATATTTTGTTTATGTAAACATCAAGAAAATATTATGAAGTTTGTGTTTGACACATAATACCAGCCAATTTTGCTGCATGAGAGTCGCAATAAGCGATTTTGTCATTTATCTCACCCACTCTTCGCTCTTCACTCTTCGCGAAGAGACGATCAGAAAATCGCTCATTGTGACTCTGTCAAAGCTAAATTTTCAGATTGTATGTGTCAAACATAAACTTTACAATATTTTCTTGTTACTTACACAAACAAAATATCATCATAATATCCTGTTATTCCATCATTTCATAAAACACTTTTTTAGCCAAAATGAATGGAAGGCACCCTGCCTACAGCTATTGCAGCTGATTACACTCGAAATCAAAATCCCAGCCAACACTGACGGAAATTTGGATTTGGAAAAGACTAACAATACAGGCAACGAGAAAAAAAACAATCTGGTACATCAAAGTTAGGTAGGGTTCTGAAAGAGATCGGAGCTCCACCGTAGGAGGGGTAATCCCCGGTCCGGTAGAGATGTACCGTCAGCCAAAAGAAAGTTAAAAGGACCTAAATGTTGTTGTATAACCCAGCGTCCTTGAGGAAATAAATAACTGTCGCTAAAGTGGAAGGTTCGTCGCCAAGTATGTCCCTAATGCTGTTGGGAAGTGCGTTCTGCTCCCGTAGTTGTTGGTATTGCGGACACAGGCATAGGATGTGTTCCACCGATGCTGTGGTTCCGCAAACACATTCTGTGGAACTTCGTCCCACCAAAACTATGTGAGATCCTTGTATGGCCTGTCCTAAGACTAGAAACCACCTTCTGGTCCCGTAGTTTCGACATATCCGTCCACTTGCTCGTCGTTCCTTTGATTCTTCGGATGAAGAGGGATTGGGATTGGCACCACTCTGCTTCCCAGGCTTCCCACATTTTGCTGACTATCCATCGCTTTATGTCCTGTAGTGGCACTTCGTCGGTGTACCGGGGGCCAGCTGGTCCAGACTCTGCCTGGCTGTCGGCTTCGCTGTTTCCTGGGATACCGCAGTGCCCAGGGATCCAGGAAAACAACGTGTTCGGAGGTGTGGCCTCCACAATACCCTGTATCCAGGGGTGAGTCATGGTCTCCGATGTAAGGGCTTGTATCACACTGTACGAATCGGATAACACCAGTATGGGCCGGTCCGAGGGTGTTGTAACGGCAACAAAGATGGCCGCAGCTTCGGCGGAGAAAACTCATCGGTGCTGAAATTCCGGCTATTCCGACCCCGGCTCGGGAAAGCGATCCGTCTGTGTATATGTGGGCATGGGTTGGGTAGTCCGAGCCTAGCAGTTCGGCTATTGTTCTCTTCAGCGCTGCAGAGTTATCTCCAGCCTTGAACCTACTTTTTATCCGACTCTCGATTTTTGGTGGAGGTATGCGCCAACTTTTGTCTCCGTACCTTGGCCACTGGGGGGAGCTCCGAATTGGCAGTCATGCGGAGGAGTCTGTTCCCCTCATCGAGGAGAAAGATCCTGTCATTTCCGGAGGACATTGCGGTAAAGGCAGCGGCTTTCGTTGCAATTGCTGCGGTTATACGATGGCGGAAGGGCAGAATACCCGCTTCGATGCATGCGGCATCGGCGGGCGTTGACGGAAGAAGACCGGAGATAATCCGAACGTAGCGTAGGTGTTAAAAGTTGGTGCTAGTATCTGCACGAGCTTTTCGGTGGCGATGCACGTCATCTCAAGACCGTACAGTAGGCGACTATCGATGACGGCTCTTGCAACCCGGAAACGAGTGTCGCGATTGTTAGACCGGTGGGGGCGAGAGATAGTGCGGATCAAGTTGATCATACTGCAGCAGTCATTCTTGATCGCCTTAAAGTGCTGCTCGAAGTTGAAGGACCGGTCAACAAGTACCCCCAGAATACGGACCGTCTTCTTCAGTGGTATGGGCTGGCTTTGAACTTTAATAGGTGGCCCGCTGACACGGTGCCGGGATGGACACACGTGGCACCTGACGTTTTTGGTGACCGAAAGCTGGAAACCTACCGCGCTGGCCCACCTGGCTACAGCGAAGACTGCTGCCATGGCCTTGATCCTATTACGTGCTGCTGTTAGGTCGGTAGTTACGATAAGTACATCGTCTGCATACAGTCCTCCGAAAACTCCGTTCATGGCCACAAGGAAGAGGGTAACTGCGATAACTGAACCT